TCAGTGCCCAGAACCCATGGAGAGGTCAGCTGTGATGGATGGTGTGCATCTGTAAGCAGAGACAGGTAAGTTCCCAGCATTCGCTGACCAGCAAATCTTGTCAATTTAGTGAGCTCCAGGTTCCCTGAGAGTCTCTCTGTCTCAAAAAAATCAAAATGGAGAGAAACTGGGAAAATACCTGTTGTCTATCTCTGGCCTCTACACACATGAACACACATACACACTTAACTACATGCATATATACAAGCACTAATACACACACACACACACACACACACACACACACACACACACACACACGGAAGGGTAAAAAGAAAGAGCACTAAAACAAAAGCCCCCAATACAAAGCCAAGTGAGCAGGCTGGTCATGGTGGTGTATGCCTTTAATCTGAGTGCTGTAGAGGTATTGGGAAGCAGGTCTACATAGCAAGGTCCTGGCCAGTCAGAGCTACACAGTCAGACCTTGTCTCAAAACAAAACAAAACAAAACAAAACAAAACAAAATCAACCAAAATAACCAAAACAACAACAACATCAGAGAAATCCAACTAAGACCACCAACCTCCTTTTTACAAGGTGTGTTTGGACTCACAATGACTTAATTTTTCTCTTTAAAAGATTTACTGGTATTTTTAAAGTTGATTCATGCTTACAGTAAAAATTTTTTAAAAACTCAAGTAATGTAGAACAATCTAAAAGCTTAATTCAAAAACTATATCACCAGGAAATAGCCATACTTAGCATCGTTCTCAAACACCCTCTTTTGCATATATGGCTCAGTGGGTAAAGGTGCCTGCCTCCAAGCCTGAGGGATGACCTGAGTTCTATCCCTGGGATCTACATGGGACAAGGAGAGAACTGGCTCCTAAAAAATTGTCCTGTGACCTTCACACACGTACTATGCCATTCACGATCCTCCCACCAAACGAATAAATAAGCCAAGAGTTCATGTAATACGAAATGTATTAGTTCATTTGGGCCTGTGTGTGGGTGCACGTAACAAGGCTTGTGAGTGGAGGTCAGAGGCCAACCTTCGGGGTCAATTATTTCCTTGTACCATGCGGGTCTCTGGGATCCAGCTCCGGTCATCAGGATTGGAGGTAGGTGGCAGGCAACTTTACCCACTGAGCCGTCACATCAGCCCATGTTGTTTCTAAGTTTAAGGAAGAAAATGAAGTGGAAACATAATGAGAGCTTTAGGCATATGTTCTTCGGCAAGGATCTATTAGTTCCTGTAGATTCCTTAAAGTGTTTCACAAAGATTATGAAAGCATTAGGGAAGAGAGGGAGGGAGGGAGAGAGGGAGAAAAATAAAAAGCAACTAGGAGAGGAATGAAAAGGTGGAAGACAGTGGGGAGGGGAGGATGTGTAATTCCTAGGAAATGGCCCCAGGTAGCCCTGTACAATACAAAAACACCATTTCAACTAACCGAGGGGAGATCAGAGGCAGCTTCCATGGCCTAAAGCAGCTTTTATTTGAATACTAGAACTGCTTCATGGCCACAAGTAAACTACAGTATTCGTATGTCTTTACTAATTGAAGGAGATTTGAGAGGACCCTGGATTTAAAGCTTTATCCCTTTTTCTGTTGTGTGCATGGGTAAGGTTCTCACTGGAATGCAAGTCTTGAGAACAGACTTGAGTTTGCTTCTTTATGCTTAGAAACTACTCAATCAAGGCTCCAGTTTCTTGTCTGGGAAAAAAAAAAAAGTCAACAGTGTCTTCCTTATGGAGTTACTGAGAGGACTATGGCTGGGCCTTGGTGGCACAAACTCTTAATCCCAGCACTCGGGAGGCAGAAGCAGGCAGGTCTCTGTAAACAGGGCCATCCTGGTTTATAGAGTTCCAAGATAGCCAGGGCTACACAGAGCCCTGTCTTGAAACACCAGATTTTAAAAAAAGAATATACAGGACAATATATAGAAAGTTCTGGTGACACTGGCTGGCAGTGTTCCATACATGTAATTATTATTGCAGGGGGGTGACTGTATACATATGGAAGTCAGAGGGCATCCTGGGGGAGTCAGTGCTCCCCATGTGGGTCTTTAGGAGAAACTGGGGTGGACAGAGTTGGGGAAAAGCACTTTACCCACCGACATACCTTATCAGTCCTACAGCACCAATTCCTACCTAAGTAGTTCATCTGTTCTTTGTATGATATTTTGGTTAATTAGTTAATTAAGGGCTTTGGATATAGCACAGTCGCAAACTACCTGTTTGTCATGTATGAGGTACTAGGTTCATCCCCAGTACTAAAACAAAACACTTATTTACGGACTTCGTAACCTAGGCTGGGTTCAAACTCTCCAACTCTCCTGCCTCCACCTCCAGAGAACCGTGATCATAGGTATGTAGTACCACACCTGGCTGACAACTTGATTTATGTGTCTGTGTGCACATGTTCCCGTACATGTGTGTGTGTACACAGGTGTGGAGGCCAGAGGTCGATCTCAGATGTCTTCCTCGTCTGTGCTCTACTGAGACAGGCTCTCTCGCTGAATCTAAAGCTTGCAAACTTGGCTGGTCACTAAGCCCTAGATAGTCTCTACCTTTGTAGAGATTGCTTTGTAAAGCATGCTGGGATTACAGGAGTGAGGATCAGTGACAGAGCTGTCCCCCAGCCTCTGCACTCTGATATTTTTAAGTGATAGTTTAGTTTGTACCTCAATGAAAGCAATATGGGATAACGGGTAAGATGTTTTCATGTAATTGTGTATTTTAATCCTGCCGTTTTACTGGGCTAGTAATATAAAAAAAACTTTTTTTGCCTCTAAATCGTCTATTAAACAGTTAGGTATAATTAACAAGGCTGAACTATTCTATATGTGAATAACAAGTTAAAATTACATAAATTTAAACAGGGTTCTGAATCCATGCACTATATCCATCCCTGTCCTCTTGTCAGAGTGGCTCACAGCACATAAACGCAGCAAGACCTGTAATTGCTGACCCAATGATACCATCACTTCAACTTACAATGCCTCTACCTTAACAGACATCTAACAGTATCATATGTGAGACTAAGACAATTCATTATAATGATCTCTAATGTGACAGGCTAAATTCTTTGGCTGTATTGAGATATGCCTTTTACCATTTTATTTACATACCATTAATATACCCAAATACTCTTTTAAACCATGGCTTCGAATTTGGAAATTGTTTTCTGCACAAAGCCTTTGTTGTGTTTTTAAGGGGCTGTGTGCCTGTGTGGTTTTGTAACAGGATTTGACCTGTAACTATCACTGAGAGTTTTCCTAGAGGAGTTCAAAGCATTTCACAGGGATCATGTCATTTACCCTTCCAAAGTAAAGCATGGCATTATCTCCACTATAGACCCAGAACACTAACGGGCCAAGAAAGGTGGGGTTTTTTGTTGTTGTTTTGTTAAGATCAAAAAGTAATTCTAGGGCAATTCCAGATTCCGGTCTGACCTTGTTACATGCTGCTTTTGCAACCCTGCTATGCTAGGTTTTGAATGATTTTCAGAACTAATGTCTCACTCATTCCTGCTCCTTAAAAATGGCTATTAACGTATAAATACAAAAGAAAAATCTTCAATCATTCTTAAATGGATTTTTGGGTTGTGTTCAAGACGGAGTCTTACTATGGATAGACTCTCGGCTGGTATAGAATTTACTTTGTAGCCAGGCTGGCCTTAAAATTGTGATGATTTATTTCACTGTCTCCTGAAGTGCTGGATTACAGTGTGTGCCACTACACTTTGATTCTTATATAGATTTGAGAAGAGGAAACTCATCCCCCCTTTTTTTTGAGACAGGGTCTCAGTATGTACCCTTGCTGGCCTGAGCTCACAGAGATCTGCCTGCCTCTGGCTCCCCAGCTCTGGGATGATTACAATGCTCCACCACGCTTGGCTCTCCCAAGTCTTACTTCATAGCTCAGTGCTGTCTGATAGAGAAATAACATGAAATACAAAATTTTCTAACAATTAAACTAGATACACTGAGTTCAGTCCAGTATGTCCAGACTACTACTAACTAATGTGTAGTTTAGAATTGTGTAAGATACTTCACATCCTTTTCCCTGTCTCGCTGTGCATCTCACTTATGCTTACTCAGATCTGGAGATGCTGCCTTTCACACACACAGAAGCCACATGTGATTAAAGTGGCCCCACAGACCCTGTGGGACAGCATAGGTCTGGACTTCTGAAGCTCTTAGATTGGTTCAGGTGAATCCAGTAGGTGGTATGGGAAATGGATCTCTAGTAATCTTGGAGAATCAGCTTAGTAACGACTACTGAGAAAAAAAAAAAAAACATCCCGATTGGCATGTACTGCTTGGTTTGGGAGCTCTGGACTCAGGAGCTAGGTTGTTTTTACCTCCCCAAATATTGGCTAATCATACTGGGACACCTACAGGACCTTGGTTGACATCTTTCATGAGACCAAGGGCAATGGAACTTTCTAACTTCTGGCTTGCAGTTTTTTGAAGAATCTGGTATGTGGCTTGTGCGAAGAAGGCATCACCCGGGGAAGAGGAAGCCTCCTGGGACCAAAAGGCCTCGTGAGGGCAGAGGCTCAACCTTGATGGTTCCTGAAGCCACAGGACTCCTCTTGTGACGTAGATGGGGTTTTCTGCGAACCTTTCAACAATTTCTCTGTCTGTCTGTCTGTCTGTCTGTCTCTCTTTTTTTTAATTTGGACACTATCTTGCTGTGTAGGTCAGGCCGGCCTTGAACTCATGGTCATCCTCCTGCCTTAGCCTCATGCTGGGATCAGAGACGTGAGCCACCAAGCTTGCTTCCTCCATACAGTCTTGAAGACATGTGCTTCAACTAGATATTCCTGGTGCTCCAGAAGATGGGGATGTCAGCGCCCAGATTGGGGTTCGCACCCCGAAATACAGGCGAGGGGCGGGTCTCGGCTTGGGCCCGCGCCGCCCCATGTGACCCGGTCCGACGTGGTGTCGCCTCCTCTCGAGGAGGCGGTGGCGTCTTCGGCTCCGCTGCGCGTCGAGCCGGCCCCGCGGCCGCTCATGAGCAGCCAGGGCCGCTCGGGTCCCCCCGGGAACCGCGGGCCCAGGGAAGGCGAGGGCGGGGAAGCGAGGAAACTGCAGGAGGCGAGGGTCGCGCGGGGAAAGCAAGGGAAAGGGAAGGGGAAGGGGAAGGGGAAAGCGGGCTCCGGGCACGGCGGAAGAGGAAGCGGGGCGGAAGGGAAGCCGGGCCTGCAGCCGGCGAGGAAGGCAGCGGGGCCGGCGGCTGAGGCAGGCCCGGGACAGGAAGGCGAGGGAGGCGAGGAGGAAGGGCCGAGAAGCTCCGGGAAGCGGGATGAGGGCAGCGCAGAGCCGAGGAAGGAGGAACGGAGGGTCCGGGCCGGGCGGCGGGAGGACGACAGCCTGGAGAGAGGACAGGAGCAGGGGTGTCAGGCGTGCGGCGGCGGCATCCCGGGAACCCGGACGGCCATGGCGGCGGCAGCCGAGGACGCGGCGGCGGCTGTGGAGCCGGCCACCCGTCCCGCCGCGGGGCCCGCGCTCTGGCGCCTGCCGGAGGAGCTGCTGCTGCTCATCTGCTCCTACCTCGACACGCGGGCCCTCGGCCGCCTGGCTCAGGTGTGCCGCTGGCTGCGGCGCTTCACCAGCTGCGACCTGCTCTGGCGCCCGATAGCCCGGGCCTCGCTCAACACCGGCTTCACGCGGCTCGGCACCGACCTGTAAGCGCCCGCTCGCCCGCCCGCTCCCCGCCCCGGGCCGGCCAGCGTCCTGGGAAAGGGCGGGGCGCCGAGGCCTGGTCGGCTCGGGGCCGTATGGCCCCGGAATATCGTAGCCCAGACCTGCCCCCCTCCCCCCAGCACCCTCGAGGAATACTGGTGTCACCCCTCTTCAAGATTCCCCAACCGGAGGAAACTTCCGGAGAGCATTCCTCAGTCAGCGCCCTCCCCCGCGGGCGCTACTCACAGTTAGCCATCCTAAAATACTCCTCAGCCTCAGAATTCCCAAAGATTTGGCTCCCTGGGTTCCTTGCCTTGTGTCCTGTGCGTCAGGCCCTGAAGGATGACTCCTGTTGGTTCTAGGTCCCAGGCCTACTAGGAGGTCTTCCAATGTGTTTCTGTGGCCCTTCGTCCTGTCCACCCTCTCAAAGGTTGTTAGGCTTCAGGACTCAGATCCTTAAAAAAAAAATCTTTTAGTCTCATTGTCAACATATTTTAGGACTTGATTCAGGCAGAAGGACCCACAATAGATGTCTGCCTGAGGCAACAAGTTGGATTTGGGGTAGGCTGTATCCAAGGCAGTTTGACCTAGTAATATCTGAGACCTGTGAATGCAAAACATTCCTAAAACACTTAGGCTGTTAAACAGGAAGGGGTGATCATGTATGACATGTACAGAACTGGTCAGGATAAACGCTTTCAGATGGCACCCTGCTCTTGCTTAGTTGTAATATACAAGAATAATAAAGTTTTAAGAAACCATAAGAAATCATTTAATTCACAACTATTTCCATTTTAAAAGTTTTTCAGTTGCACACCCCTAACCCGGCCACCCTAAGAGAATGAGTGCTTAATGAATGATGTAATGGATTTTGAGGTATGTCACACGCCATGACATAATTTGGCTTTAATTACCTCCTTAGAATAAAAATTTCAAGGTAGCCACTATTAGATCAAAGGTTTGGATGTGCAAAGGAGTTGGACCAAGTCACAGTATACCAGCAAAGAATGAGTGAGGCAATTTGATGTGAGAATTAAAATAAAAACCCTTCGATGCTTTAGTGAATGAGTGATAGTAGCCGAAGCTGTGTTGTTTTGTATCACTCATCGCTAACCAGGATAAATATTTTGCCATGTGTCTGTTTCACCTGTGAGATTGTTTCTTTCTACTCCTTGTCACTGAGGTCTTGGTGTTTTTGTTATAAATTTGGAATTTTTCTGGGTCATAAATGTTTGACTCTGGTCTGTCATCTTTGATGGAGGTACATTTTCCGGTCAATTTTTAATTTTATTGTTATTAGAATTTTTATATTTCATTAGGATCTGCCCTTCCCCCTTAACCTGGGAAATTTATAATTTTTCCACAGGCCTGACAAGTTTGATTGCCAACTTATTTTTTTGTGACTTTTTTTTAATGGCATTTTCATCAGTAACACTTATTTTGGTGTAAGGAGTGAAATTCTCTTACTATATTTTTCTCTAAATGGTTGCTCAGTTATTGTTACACCTTTGGCTAAGCAATTCTCCCCCCCCCCATTTTGTTTTGGAAAGCTTACATTACTGTGTGTTAAATACACACACATAGGTTTGTATATTAAATGTATATCTGAACTCTCACCTTTTTCTCCTAGTTTATCTTCCCATTTTCATAACGTTTTAAGTATGTTGCTTCTTGATAGTGTCATATCTGCAAGGGTTAGATAATTCTTGCTGCGTTAAAATGTCAGCATCTGCTCAGGTCTCAGTTCATGACCAAAACCATTCTATACCTTTTTAAGGATTTTTGTGGTTTTCACTATAAAGTTCTAATGTATCATTTTTTATTTATTACTGATTAGTTCCTGCATGTTTTGTGTTTATTAGAAATACACTTTTTCGTCTTCTTTAACATGTCCAATTTTAGTACAATTTGTTACTGATGATCCCTTTGGGTTTTATGTATATGTTGTCTTATCACCTGTAAATGAGTATCTCCCCATCCCCCGCCGCCGTGTCATCTGAATAACTTTTTTTTTTAACTCAAAGGAAAAAGAGTCAGAATTGTATATGTTTCCATCTCTAGTAGTCTGTAGTAAAGTTTACTTGGAAACGTTTTTGTACTTTTCTTCTCTTTTTTTTTTCTTTTTGGCATATATTCATCGTGTATAGTTCTGGGTTTCAGAAAGACACTTTCTTCTTCTAGATGTATCACCTGCTCTGACAGAGTAACTCATTGAAGGAGTATTGAACTGTAGTAGGAGTTGTCCAAAAATGACTGGAATTCAAGCCAACCAAAGCACAGCGTGGCTTTCTGTTGCTCCTTAGAGCAGAGAATGAAAGAATTGATATTTATTTTTGTTTTCCTTTCTGATATTCTAAAAGAGAGAAACTGATACTGATAACAAAATGGAAATGAATTACTTGTATAAAGAACTTAGAGTCCACCAAATGGTATTTGTTATGATATGTGTGTCCTAGCAGGAAGCATTGTCCTTCCAGAGAAATTGCACAGCCGTGGCAGTTGATAAAGAGCAGGGGTCACTGCCCTGTTTTCTGGGTTGAGGGGAGAAATTATGCCTGTTATAGCAGGTGGAGAGCGTTTACCAGTGTGGCCTGCTTCTGGACAGCTGCAGAGACTTCATAAACCCCAAGAGAGGCAGTTGTCATCTCTGAAGAGATAAGGCATGCACCTTAGTTCCTTCAGAGCATCAGGGTGCCTGCATAACGCTACTGTTCATGTCCTGGACTGATTCACTGCAGAACAGATAAGCAAGTATGTCCTTAAAATTTGCAGTACAAAACCTGGCTTTCTCAGAAGGCCATAATCCCACTCACTCTGAGTTTTATCTCCTTAAAGACTAGAAATACCACCGTTCAGTCAAATGAGCTTTGAACCAGCTTTGTCTGTGTTCACTGCTAGAAAGCCTTCCATGAGGACTTTTCATTATTTGGCTTCCTCTTTATTCTGCCTATGTCAGAAGTGGACATGGTTTGATTTGGAAGTGCTGCTTAATGACAGGAGATACACACACACACAAACATACACATGACATCTTGAATGTTTTCACAAACATGACAGCAGAGCCTGTGGGCTTTGGGACTGCACTTACTGCTTTAAGGGCCTTCTGATTTTCAGAAACACTAACTGCTAAGGTTTACTGACCTTCCGGCCCAGGGCAAGCCCTGTTCAGTTTAGCTGTTCCTAACTGATTGTAGCTTTGTTGAGTAAGATGAACTGCTTTGGTTCCTTGTGATTGGTTAATGGTCTTATACTTGTGCTTGAAGGCATTTGAGCCACTTAAAAACCACAAACAAATAATTTGCTTCCCTTTAGGCCCCTTGCCCAAACAGTGAACACTAAGAAGTATCCTAAGTGGGTTTTTTCTTCTTCTCCGCCAACGCCCCCCCCCCCCTTTTGAGGAAACAAAAGGTAGTTTGAATCAGTCATCTGATTTCAAATTAGTTTTGTTTGAAAGCTTTATGAAGCCTAGGGGAATAGAAATATCTCGGTTATAATAATAAAAATCAAGACAGTGTTTCATACAGCAATCTTCTGAGTGAAGATTGTGGTGAGTACTAACCAGTGTGCAGGAACAAAGCAGTGGACTTGAGCTGTGTCATTAAACGGTGGAGGAGGGACAGAGGTGCTGTCTGTAAATTCTGACAACTAGAGCAAAGAAAAGGAAAATCTGCATAGAAACCCATTCGACGAATGAGTGCGATTTCTGTTGAAACTAGCTTGATCTCCTTCTTTGTGTAAGTGTTACATTCTCAAGGGGATGGCCTTTTAAATGTCCTGTGGACAGTTACCTGGGTGCTGTTTTACATTAGCCTGTGATAGATCTGCCTAGAATTAACAATAGGGGTTTCAGAAGTGGAGCTTCTGAGGTGTTTGCCCTGGCATGCAGGCTCATTCCTTTGGAGGTCCTGCAGCCTGGGAGCTCTTTGAGGCTGGAGGATGAGGGTATCTATTTCAGTGATGATTAACATCCAGAGTGGTGAGATAGATGCAGATAAGCTGTGTGTGTTTGTTTGTTTTAAAATGATCGCACCTAAGAGTCCTCCCCACCCCAGTGGGGGGAGGTTTGGGGAGGGGGGTGTGGAGAAGCATGAAGTTTCTTTTCCTAACTGAGCGGTGAGCATTGCTGATTGGTCTTTAAGGCCTAAACTGTGGTTTTTAGAAGACAATTAGCACACAGAGAAACCCTGTCTCAAAAAACCAAAAAAAAAAAAAAACAAATAGCAAACCAAAAATAAACCAAGTCTTTTTTTTTATTTTTTTTTATTTTATTTTTTTTTGGTTTTTCGAGACAGGGTTTCTCTGTGTAGCCCTGGCTGTCCTGGAACTCACTCTGTAGACCAGGCTAGCCTCGAACTCTCGAACTCAGAAATCCGCCTGTCTCTGCCTCCCAAGTGCTGGGATTAAAGGCGTGCGCCACCACCGCCCGGCTTTATTTTATTTTTTAAATATACTTTCTGCCTTACCTGGAAGGCATAAGCCTCTCCTTGGTCCCCCAAGGTATTGCCTGTAGGGATGTGGTATCTTAGTTGCTTTAGAAAGGTCTTATTGTCTTTTCTTTTTAATATCTACTTTATTTTTAATGATGGTGTGTGTGGGTCTGTGTATATGAATGTGGGTGCTTGGGGAGGTCAGAGACATTGGATCCCCCGTGCCAGATGAGGGGGTTGAGAATGAACTCAAGTCCGCTGTAGAGAGCTACATGCACTCTTAACACTGAGCCATCTCTCCAGCCCCAGGCCTTTTTTTTTTTTTAATGGTTTCTGAGTTAATGAAAAGGAGGGTTCGTTTACATGCTCACGGTAAATACACCTGCAGAAGCAGGAAATGGTCTGGTGCACGCCGTACCTTCAGAAGCACACTGGAAGGAAGGAGGGTCTCCAAGGCTGTAGGGATGAAATAGTCCTTGCCTTCCCTAGTCACCTGGCCTCTGAACCGGAGGGGTGACTTCTCTAACTTTCAGGGGCAGACTCCCTAGTCTGCTATGCAAATTCATTTGGAAATC